TCGCCTAACCTCTTTAGTACAGCAAAGGCCCACAGACATCTCCATAACTGGACACGGCCGGAATTCAGACTTCAAAGGAGAGGCTTCTTACTCTCTCATCAGTAGCTGTTTTGATTTGAGCATCACTTGACAGTGTCAGAGTCGGGGTGAATGTATGAGACTGTAATGATGCGATTACCTTCTGTGGCTTTATAAGATGGATAAACGTCCTGATTTAGGTATATATATAACCTTTATGAGGAAAAATGTACCTTCCATTGGCCAATGTCAAGGTCCGTGATGCTAGGAGGCAGCCCCTCCCCTCTCGTCAGGGGCAGCCATATCACCCTGAGGAAGGGGAACATCTGACCAAGGTGCCATTTCACACAGGCACATGTCTCTGGCAACTGTGATGTGTGAGGGGGCCTTCTCACTCTGAAGATAAGGGCAAAGGAAAGGAGGCTGACGCATCTTTGGGGGTTAACTGGGTTATCACACAAGGAGAAGAGGGAAGATAAGCACCTCTCCCCAGGAGATCCGAGATCCAAGTGCTGAACAGAAATAGTATTTTTCCAGGTCACATCTCCCAATCAACCTTGGAATGTGTTAGCATACCCGATTCTTTAACGTCTAAAGTCAAGCAGGAGCGTGGTCAACAGGAGCTAGGATTCAAACAAAAGTACCAGGCTCGCATTTAGTCATCTGTAAACCCCTTTATGGTTTCCCGGTCAAATTCTGCCTAAGCAAGCATGATTTGATGCGTCGTGCTAATATGGTAACCAAAGCGTTGAGTTCACTGTAGACGGGCATTTCATCTCTTTAGTTGTAGCAGCCTGACAGTGATTAAGTCAACTTCTGGGAAAGACCTGTCCTTATGAAAGGCGTGCCCGGGGGACCTGTGTTCGTCAAGGCACAATGCCAGGCTACTTCAAACCCATCTGGAGGCAGGCTGTTCAGGATGAGGCCTGCTCCTGGCCATATAGCACGGCCTCTCCGTCCTCTGAGGTGGTTTGAACCTGTCTAAGCAGCTGTGACAGGAGGGAGTAGATCAGATGAGGAAAGGGACCCATCCTCATTTCGACACTCACTGGCACCTGCGCAGCACTTAGCTCACTTCATTCCCCCCAAACTGCCATGAGGTAGGAGGTAGGAAGAGAGAGGAGAACTAATGCACCCTACAGGTCAACTAGCTAGTGAGCACTAGCACCTGCCCTGAAAACACATCTGCCTGCCTCCAAAGCCCAGTCTCGTCTCAGTACAGATCCTGCGTCTCCGACACTGAGGTCATTCCTATAGGATGGTGGGGATTGGAGGCTGTGAGCCAGGTGGTGACATCTCTCTCTAGTCATCTGTCCTGCTGATGCTGGCTGCTCATTCCTTCCACAGACGTTTCTTGGAAAGAATAATCAGTCAAAAATACAAAACTGTGTTCCTCTTCGGAGGTGGGAATTTCACTTTGAACTCCAGCTCTGTAATTGGCCACAGGAGCAAGAGCCTATTTCATGGTGATTTTTCTCTGAAGAGCCTCAGACGGGATTAGACCCAAGCTCTGTTAGTGTATGTCGACTGGGAGAGGCAACCCGAACATATGCTGCCCCTGGTCCAGCTCATCAGTATAAAGCGAGCTCCCACTGCCACTGGCTGTCACTAAGTACACTTCAATTGTAAAAACAATCATGATAAAACCCTCTTCCATTCAACCCGAGGGACACCTTCATGTCCTTTGTTGCAAAAGAAATCGCTATGGAGTTGTAGAGGCCCCTCGTGTGAAAAAGGCACCCCATCATGTGAATGAACAAACTACTAAAGTCCTGTGTTTTTCACCTGTCTGGCTGTTGGTCAGCAGTGAGCAGCCATGTCACACACGCAAGGACCAACTTATGACTCAAAGGGAAAACCACACTTCCAAGCATCCCTTTTGGTAGCGGTCACGATCGTCAGTGAATATAATATCCATTTAAAAGCAGCGGATGTCTATTTCCAACAGAATGGAATGGCAATGCAAGGAGCATTATCCCACTCAAACATTCTCAGGCTACCCGGAGAATCATTCTGACCTGTCATGCTAACTCATTTCCTTATTTCTCTTCTTCTTTTTCTCCCCTGCTGACTATCGTCATCAAAAATCAAATTAAGGACCAATAGTAAATGTGAGCAGCAATCCCTTCAGAAAAGCAAAATAATCAGACTCAAGAGGGGCTGCAAACAGAGGACCGCTCATATTGAAGATGGAGACTGCTGACAGAGGTGTGAGAGAACCCAAAACGAGTCACGGTAAATGGAGTTCCTACCCAGATACGCCTTCAGTGGGACCGTCAGCTAACAGTGCCACAGTCATCATTGAAAAGGAACATAAAATGTGACAAAATAATAATAACGTATACATTAGCAAGGGTTCATGGGGGAGGGGGGACCAGGGAGGGAGGGGGAAAATGAGGAGCTGATACCAAGACCTGAAGTCGAAAGCAAATGTTTTGAGAATGATGAGGGCAACAAACGTACCAATGTGCTTGACATACAATGGATGGATGGATGGATTGTGATACGAGTTGTACAAGCCCCCAATAAAATGATTTTTTTTAAAATAAAAGGAATGCCCAGAGGAACACATTGGAAACCTCCATCTGAAGGGGTGGAAGCCGGAGCCGGAGGAAGAGCAGCGGTGAGGCAAGGAGCGCCGCTCACATTCAGAAGCAGAGCAGCAGGTGGCCTCCCAGGCCAGTGCATGGAGGCAGAGGCTACGGGACCACGTGACCGAGAGGCTGAGGACCAGCGTGAGGTGTGGCTGCTGGCTGAGAGGTGTTTCTGCAGACCAATGCCTGGCCCCTTCATATTTTCAGATCCTGGCTTGTGGTCACTTCCCTCATAACCCCCCTTAATTGTGAAATAAATAAGAGGAATACCCTGAGCTACCTCTTTTCAAGTCCCCTCTTTCTAGCTTTCAGGTATCTAAGGCATAGTAGTGCTACAAACAATGATGTGTCCATGTGGGAAATCATTTTGGTGAGAGAGAACAGAAAGGCAACATGCCACATGGGAAGATTCATGGCTGACCCCACATGGTAATTGCTATTATTACCCACTGGGATATTTAATGCTAAAACTGTCATGAATCATTTATTTTGCCTCTAGTTTTCAAAAAGGAGTGGCTCCCATGAGAAAATGTAATGTCTTGCCTTTAAAGCATTAGAAATGAAAGATGCCTCTTGAAATGTACCTGGTGAACACATTGCTGCTCTGGGTGGCCAGTAGATGAGTTAAGTCTTATCCATGTGTTCCAGAACAAAGAGTGCCATTTTGTTAAATTGATTCATTCTATTTGGAAAAGGAATTCTTTAAGATAAATGAAGTTACTACTCTTGCTAAAGCTCTTGCCCCCCACCCCAAAAAAATCCACTGAACAAAAGTGGCTGAGGTGCGTATTGATGGAGGAAAGAATGAGATGCTGACGTCAATGTATGGATTCCCCAAACACACAAAAATGTTTCATCTGAGTTACTGTTCTAACGAACAAAACAAAGCTATTTTCTGGTGGCTGAGAAAGCATATGATTTTAAAGCAAAATAACAATGAATCACAAGGTGTTAAGAGACCTCAGGATGGATCCAATTAAACACATTAATTTTATAAATGAGTCACATGAACTTAGAGGGCTCATGTGAGTATTTGAGATCATATTAAGAGATGGGAGATGATCTAAATGTAAACATTAGCTCTCTTGATTCTATAGTCATTGCCTTTTTGACCACAAGAGAGCTATTCCTGTATTGTCTGAGTTCACTCAAGGCAAGTAAGAATAATCTATGTTAAGTATTGCAAAGTCCTTACCCACATGTAGCTTACCCTCCAATATGAAAGCATGAACATTTTTCTTGCGGTTACGATAGAGTGATAAGAACACTGATAGGAAAGTACTCAAGCAAGCCTCTCCCCCACCCTCACCCCCCGCCCCGCCCCGTCCCGCTAGACTTGTAGTGCCAGCAAAGGCTTCTCCAGAGATCTTTGCTGGAACTGGGTCCTTCAAGAGTAAGTAGGGAAGAGAGAGGAGGAGGCGCAGGAAAGCTGTTCCAGGTGGAGGAAATAGCTGACACGTAGGGTCAGAGGCAAAAGGGCCCTTGGCACGTCTGGGGAAGTGAAAGGCACTCATTGTGGTTGGCACACCAAGTGCTCACGAGGTGCTGAGAGGCAGGGAGGTGAACAGGGACCTGAGCCCATAGGGCATTCTGCCACGTTAAGGAATCTGGAGTTTATCTCATGGCAATGAAAAGACATTAAAGGATTTTAAAACAGGAGAGTGTGATGACGAGATCTGCATCTTAGAAAAAAATATTATTACTTTTGAGTGGGGAAAAAAAAGACAGGAGGGGACTAGTCCAGAGAGAAAGCAAAAGGGACACAGTAACTCCGGAGTCAGAGGATTGTTAACTAATGAGGTATCTGTGAGGAATGGCGAGAAGTGGTTCGATTGGAAATATTCAGGTAGTTGAATTAAAGTACTTGATCATCAATCAATGGGGGTCATTAGGTGAAGGGAAGTGTCGTGGATGATTCCAAAGCGTCTGGCCCAAGTCTGGCTTGGGAGACGTTCTGAGACAAAAAACCTAAAACACTTCACCTGGGGCTCTCACAGACGATAGAAATCCCAGAGAGGGACACCGTGGGGATCGGAGCTCAGCTTCTCCCGTCAGTAGGAAATACCCGCCACACCTCTGTGAGCATGGTGTGTCCATGGCGACCGTCCTACCACTTCTGTCCAGAATTCCCCTAGAAAGAAAAGTCTGCCAAGCAGGCATCTTCAACCTCGAAGTCTGACCAGTCTGTCCACACGCACGGTGGTCTCTCCTGTTTTCTGGTGGAAGCTTGTTAGTGTAAAGGAAGCACCATGAGGGTTTCTGAATAAAGGGATCTAAACTCAGGGAGAAGGACTGCCTCTATGGAAGTTCCCTCAAGCACCCACAGGTTTCCCAGTCCCGAGCTGGAGGAATAAAACCCAAAGCGTGCTTTGGGGTGGTGGTACTCACCCCCTCGCCGCCACGTTCGCCCGCGTGGGCCAGCATCTCCTGCAGGGCCCTGACAGACAGGGACTGCTCCAGCACAAAGTTGCAGACCCAGAGATCTGGAGGGACGTACTGTGGACATAAAACCGGACAGAATCAGGATCCCACCTCCCGTCAGTCAGGGATCGGTGATGCAAGAAAACATCTCAAGGGTAAAGCACTGAAGCAGCAAGATGACAGATGCACGAGCAGGAATGTGAAAAACGAACTTCTGTTTTCCAAGTTAAGGCAAGTTTTAAGTGGGGCTCTAAAACCCAATTTCAAAGACCAGTTTTTGTTTGATGTCTATTGTTTGATGGAAAATTGGGCCACTGGGGGGAGTTCATTTTCAGGCCTGAAAGAGACTGCGGGCCACCATCCTGGGCTCTTGCATTTAATGCATGGTGCACCCATTCAATAGGCGCTCCATGCCTGCTCTGGATCATCTCTCAGCAATAAATGTATACTGACTGTCCTCGCTCCCACTCAAATGTCATCAAGTTAATTCCAATCTACAGGGACCCTCTGGGTGCCTGAAACCATCAGTCTTTCTCTTTCAGAACCGCTGGTAGACTTGAAGCTCCAGCTTTGCAGCCAAATCGCGAACCCACGGCATCACCAAACCATTGAGCCGATGCTGACTCGAGCACCTACAGGACCGGGTAGACCTAGCCCTACGGCTTCATGAGACTACATTTTACGGGAGTAGAAAGCCTCATCTTTCTCCTGAGGAGCTGCCGGGTGGTTCCCAACTGCTGACCTTGCAGTTAGCAGCTCAGTCAGGGCTCTCTGTACCGGCTACAGTGACCGATCATAATTCATTACACCCTTTTTCTGTGCCAGGCTCTGCTGTGTTAAGCTTGTACAAATTCATGTAACCCTTTCAACAACCTTATATGACCTACACCTTTGAGTATATTCTAACTTAGAATGACTCTAAGGTTTACTATTATCACACTTTATAGTGAAGCAGTCCCTAGTAGAATAGTTAGGAACCCTGGTGGTATAGTGGTTACATGCCTGGCTGCTAACTGCAAGGTCAGCACTTCGAAACCACCAGCTACCCCTTGGGAGAAAAACGGGGTTTTCTACTGCTGCAAAGAGTCAGGTCTACACTGGGGCAGTTCCACACTGTCCTATAGCGCAGCTATAAGTCAGCACGGAGTCCATGACAGTGCTTTCTGTTTTGTTTGTTTTTTGAAGTAAACCGGTTCGTGCTCAACTACTAGTCAACAGGTAGGTAGTTCAAACCTACCCAGCAGTGTCTCTGGAAACAAGCCGAGTGATCTGCGTACTAAAAGTCACATCTTGGAACACCTGTGGAGCGGGTCTACTCTGCACACATGAGGTTGTTATTTCCACCAAGGGGCAACTAACAGCAGCAGCACAGTTAGGGAAATGAAGGTAGAGAGAGAAATTAGGTCACCTAAGGCCATGGCTTATAGCCATTTGACTGAGTCAGAATTTCAACCTGATCCTCTAGCCCCAAAACCTATGCAGAAGACCCTGGACTGTGATGTCACGGATGAAAAGATTTAAAATGTGTGTTTCGCCAATGGAGCCTTTTCCCACCACCAAGTACTTTGGGAATACGTGTATGTAAAACATCGTGCTTGGTCCTGAGCAAGCCCTAGAAGAACACAAAACATGACCACGGCGCTTCAGGTGCTTACAACCCAGTTAGCCCTTGCATACCAAGCTTTGTTCCCTCCACGATATTGGCAGAATACAGACACCATGAGAATAATAATGATGAGTGATGCCAGCCCTCGGAGACAGGTAAGGCTGTATCTAAGGTGCGCTAACTTCACAGATAACCTCTCCGGAGTCAGCATTTTTGCATGAAAAATAAACACAAAGGACTGGTGATCTTTGAGGTTCTTTTAATTTCCAAATGTTGAAATACATTCTTCACCTCTCTAACTTGGGAACCCACGTTGGTGGGTGAGTAGTAGAATTCTCGCCTACCAGGCAAAAGGTCTGGGCTCTGTTCCCAGCCAGTGCGTAAGTCCCACACAAGTGTGTTGTTATGATGCTGAACGGGTTTCAGTGGAGCGGCGAGCACAAGATAGCCTAGGAAGAAAGGCCTGGTGAAAATCCCCTGGCCCAACGGAGTCAGCGTAACCCAAAGGCTCCTGCTTTCATGGAAGTGCTCTTATACTATGGGCTTGAGTACCTTTCTCCGCAAAGATGCTTCTATTCAGTGTCTGTGACCAGGAATCTTAGAACCCAGAGGGCTGGAGTCACAGGCACTAGCCCAGTTCTCTTTATGCAAACAAGGAGCGACCGTAACAGAAGGAGAGGACAGCCTGTATTTTGCATGTTTCTGACTTTGTTTTCCAAGCCTGTTCCTGCTGCAGGTAATTTACTCACGTGACTGGGACCTGAGCAGCAGGCAGCTGGTGACACGGGGCACAGTTTCACATTGAGGAAGTGATTTTAGAGCACGCTTGTAGCATCCTTATAAGTAGCACATCTTAATATGATACACTATTTTTGTATGCCATGAAATTATATCACCCAACCCAGTCTCCCCAAATATGAAGCCTCTCAGAAGATTGTACAGAGGTACTTTCCCCTCCCTGTCTAGTCTAGCTTGGATCCACACTCAGACCTAAACTAAACCCTAACACGTTAGCTGTGGAGTCAATCCCAATTCCGGCTGGTCCCATCAGTCACCGAGTGGAATGGCATGCTATGGTTTTCTTGGAAGCAGATCGCCAGGCCTTGCTCCCAGTGTACAGCTGGGAGGATCGGAACTGCCAACCTTTCAGCGAGCAGGCGAGAGCAAACCGTTTGCTTTACCAGGGGCCTCGGTGGGAAAGCAAAAGCCGGGGTTTAATCTGATCCTCCTTGCTCCATGTCACTTTGTGTAGGATCTGGGGATTGTCACTTCAAGAATAGCTGCAAAAATTATCATCGGTACTTCACAGGCTGCTTGCTAGCTCATCAACGGAGGGCTTTGAGCTTCATGCCCACTTTTAAAATACCCCTCTTCAGCCCATTCTCTTAAGACCACAACCTTCTCGTCTGGTGCTAGCGACACTGCTCCGATGACACTGTGCGATGCTAAGGCAATTTCTTTCCTCCCTGTGTGTCTGGTTGGCTTGGACAGGGCACAGGAGCTCGCCTCATCACAGCCATCTGTCCTCCCTGATGGGGGGCCACCAATCGCACAGACACTGGGCATGCTACAATTATATCTATCTTTTCCCTGCAGGTATTAAAAGTCCCAAGAAGTCCTTTATTTCATTACAGGTACCAACACTCACTCACCTGAACTAAGCACTCGCTGCCATCATGCTGGTTCCAGCTATAGCAAACGCAGAGCACAGAGTAGAGTTTCTCCAAGGTTCCTGAGATGAATGAGTAGACCGCTTCTTCCACTGGATTTGAACCACTGATCTTTCCATCAAATCTCCTTCAAAAGTATGAATAACCAAACCCATCAAACCCACTGCCATCAGGCTGAGTCCGGCTCATAGCGTTGGCGAGGAGTGTGAGACTATAAATCTTTACAGGAGCAGGCAGCCTTATCTGTCTTCCACAGAGCAGCTGGTCAGTCTGAACCCCTGAACTTCTGGTTAGCAGCCAACAGCTTGTCCCACAGGGCCACTCTCAGTAGGAATGCCCAAAGTCAACCTCACTGCCATCGAGTCAATGTTGACTCCCAGTGACCCCTGTGCTTTCCCGAGATGGTTCACTGTTTATATGAGCAGAAAGCCCAGCCTTTCTCCCACGGAGCTGCTGGTGGAGCTGCTAGTGGTTTCAAACTGCCGACCTCGCAGATCGCAGCACAACCTTTAACCAATACACTGCAGGGCTCCTCAGAACTATGACTAGGTATATTTAAAGAGGGAGACAGGGTACAGGGGGAGAAAACATCCCAAACAGGAGCATTGAATCTGCTACCAGTTAATGCCATTTCCTGGCAGTTTAGTTTTTCTACCTCTGAACTGGAGTCCCTGCCAGAACCCTGTCCAACTAGGGCTACAGTTAAGTCACACCAAAAGCAGACAAAGCAATGTGGGGGCTACAGTAAGGGAGGGAACAAAATGCACCTGGCAACTTGTCACAAGAATGGCTCGCAGAGCAGAGCGTCACCTGACCTGCTATGGCAGCTGCCATCCTTAATTAAACTCCACAGTCCCTAAGAATGAGCAAAGTCCACTCTTCCATCAAAGCTAATTTATTCATAGCCATGAGAGTCCTCCAGGAGTGCAGATCATGTCTCTGAGCTGTGGAGCCTGTGCCTCAGTCACCCTGACTGGCAGCCATGGGGGCATGTGCTTGAGGATTCTGTGCACGGAGAGAGGGCTCTGTTGACATCTGTTCTGACAGGGCTCCTCATTCCTCTTCCCAGCCCTGTCCTTCGCTTAGAGAAGTATTACATCACCACGTGTCCTACAGAAAACCTTGAGATGCCAGGGCCCTTGGAAACCCAGGAACTAGATATCCATTTAGCTTCCCTCAGTAGAAAATCGCCATGAGTTATACATGGGACTGCTAACCACAAGGTTGGCAGTTCAAACCTATCACTTGCTCTCTTGGAGAAAGATGAGGTTGTCTACTCTTTAAAAGACCTATAGCCTCAGAAACCCTCATAGGGTGACTAGGAGTCAGAATCAACTTGGTGGCAGTGGGCTTGGTTTTTATGTAGACACTAAGCAGCCCTGGTGGTGCAATAGTTAAGCACTTGTCCGGCTGCTAATTAAAAGGTTGCTGGTATGAACTCACTCAGGGGCTCTGTTGGAGAAAGACCCTGAGCTCTGCTTTCTTAAGGGTTAAATCTTAGCAAACAGTAAGGGGCAGTTCTACCCCATCACGTGGGATGGCAGTGAGTGAGAATTGACTTATGGGCACCAAGCAAGAACGACATGTGAAAAGTGACTCCTTGGGTGGTGCAAGTGAGTTACTAACAGCTCCTAACTTGGTTGGCAGTTCAAACGTACCCAGCTGCAATGTGGAAGGAAGTCCAGGCCGTCTGCTTTCTTGAAGAATAGAGCCAAGAAAGCCTCTCGTTGCACAGCTCCACTCTGGAGCACCCTGGGCCCCTCTGAGTTGGGATCCGCTCTATGGCAACGGGGTTCGTT